GTCCTCTGAGGGCTTCTGAGCACCTCTAGGTCTGACTCCCCCTGAAAAAAAGAGTGACAACTGGGAACCCAGGGCCCAAGCCATGGGCAGTTCCCTGGTCTCTCCCTGGTCTGTCATCAGCTGCACCCCAAGCCCCAGGCTTGGTCTCCCCTGTGGCCCATCTCCCAACGGAGCCTCACCAGGGACCCAGCCCCAGCTGGTTGGGCGTGGCTGCCTTGGGAGGGGGGAGTGGGCGGGGGCCCTGAGCCGGGCTAGACCGGACTGGGCAGACCCCGAGGTCCTGACGCAGGCTGTGAGAAGCGCCTTTGAGGCTGGCAGCAAACCTCTGCCGGCCTGGACTGTCAGCAGGAATGCTGGCTAAAAATACCCGGTCTCAGAGGCCTGCCTGCGGCTGCACTGCCTCCAAACCCCCTCCTCACACTAGCGCTGCAAAATGGAGCAAGAGGCCATCGAGGGGCCAGTGGATGGGAGGGAAAGTCAGTCCGGTGAGCCCCAGCCCAGGGGCCCTTCTGGAGGGTGGCCGGAGACCAGGGTGTCACCTCAGCGCTGGTTCAGTCCCTGTCCGGCTCCATGCCCATGATCCTGCTCAGGGATGGTCTGAACCTCAGCCCCGGCCTGATTCAGGCATGGGATGAGGGTTCTGTGGCCCCCAAACTGCACAGCTCTGCCTGTGACTGGATGGGGTGGTGGGGAGGGGGTAGAAGCCAATGGGGAACAGAACTCCAGGGCTTAGGCTGAGCCACTGTCAGGATAGGGGAGGCCAAGGGGTCTGACCCATTCCCCCAATATCTTGGCCCCCTTAGACTTTGGGGTGACTTTGTAGCATGAACCGTCTCCCCTTAGCAAGTTGTTCTCTCACAGAGGGGGTGGAATGGAATCTCTCACAGAGGCTACCCTTCTGGGATCCAGTTTTGTCACCAGCACCCTGAGATCTGGGCGCAGATTCCCTGAGGTGTGTGGAGTGATTGAGTGAAGCAGTGAGGGGTACAAGAAGGGAGGACCCCCACGGTGCCCTGTCAGTGGGAGCACTGAGCCCTTGGCCTCTCCGCTGGGGACACGGCACCTGTCTATGTGCCCTGAAGATGGAAGAAGCCTGGGGTGGTTCGAGGGACCCAGGAACCCTGGGGCCAGGGCTGGAAGGCTGAGGCTCTGGTTCTCCACACTAGCATCCTCCAGGGGCAGCCTGGCCCACTGGGCCCTCATGGGTGCCCTTGCCAAGGTTTGGCCCAACCTGAGGGTTCCTAGTGTGAACGGCACCTTACTATTGAGTTGTCACTGCTGGGTGGGTGACCTGGAAGGATCCAGTGTCCCAAATGGGCAGGGGACAGCCTTGAACCAAACTCCCATAACTTGGGCCCTGTGAGGTGGGGGACCCCCTAGCTCCACGCAGGTTCTCAGGAACCAGAAATGTCCCAACCAGCTCCAGCCCAGGGTGCCCCTCCCATGATCACTAAGAAGCCAAGTGGCTGTCCCCCTCTGTCTGGGCCCCCAGGGACGGCCCTGCTCGGTATGGATGTTGTAGCCCAGGGACCTCCAGGGGCTGCTGTCCCCTCCCTGCTGGTCCCCGAGCCAGCCCCATGGCTGACACGTGACTTTGATGAATAAGAGATGAGCTGCAGATGCATAATGGTTTCATATGTGCCCAGGATGGGCAGAAGGGAGAGGGTGGAGAAGCCCTAGAGGCTGCCGGAAGGGGGGCGGGGACCTCAGGGCCCCAACCTCCATTTTCCTGTCTGAAGAACACACTGTGGGGGTGGCATTTCGGCCACAGAACCAAAACAGACAGTGCACTTGGCATGCTGGCACAGAATCCTCTTGGGCCTTGGGCAGGGAGCCACCCTCTGTGGTGAGGGCAGATGGCGAGCTGGTGCCCCCCGGCTTCCTGGCACAGGGAGACATTCCCAGCTGCCCACCTGAGGGTCACGTTGGAGCAGTGAGTGGGGCAGCAGGCTCGGGCTTCTGTAAGGGCCTGCAGCGGCCTCGCAGGCCTTTCCTGGGCTGGGTGGACTCCCGGGGTATGCGACCGAAGATGTCCCCCACCCATCCCCCCACTGCTCCCTGGTCAGGCAGGGAGGGACTGGAGGCCCAGCTAAGCCCCACAGTTCTGTCAGTCCAGGTGGATGGGGGTGTCAGGAGAGTGGCTGTCTTTAATCAGGAGGCTAAACGGGGTCCCCATTAGCCCAGACACAGCCACAGCGAAGGGGGCCCTGTCCCAGCTAGAGGTGTGTGTCTATACCCGACACTGTCCCATGCAGCCCTTGCAGACAACAGAAGCAGCACGCCAAGGTGTGGCTGGGTAACTCTGCCCAAGAGGCACTAGTGTCTGCTCCGAGGGACCACGGTCACATGGCTGGGAGGGTAACAGTGTCTGACATGCTGTTCTGGGTGTCTGCCTCCCAGGACCAGGATCCAGACAGTCCATGGCCTCAAGAAAGGGGTGGAGGGGAGGGAGCTGGGCCCTGGATGTGCGGGGGTGGGAGACTGGGGGGCAGTTCAGCTGGAAACCCAGCCTGGTGGCCACAGGCCTGTTCACTCACGGCAGAGCTATGTGCTGCCTCCAGCACAAGCCCATGTCTGCTTGCCACGGCCCTGTGTCCAGAAACCCCAGGGGCTCAGATCCAGGTGGCCCAAATGGGCTGCCATCAGCACCGCCCTGCTGGGCCCCATCTGCGCAGATGCACCGAGCGAGGGACTGAGCAGCCAAGCTCTTCTCAAGGGGTCTCTGGCTCCTCCCACGGGGCTGACCCCCAAGGCTAGCTGAGTCGCTCCACCAGAGGCTGCAGCCTGCCAAGTGCTCCCCAATCCCCTCAGCAGCTGTCACTTGGTCCCCTTTAGGGCCTGCAGGAGCGACAGATCCTCCTACCCAGGGAAAGCCCCTCCTCCCTCTGCCCCACCCCTCTCAGTTACCCTGTATGGGCCCCTCCAGCCCCCCCCCCCACTCCCCGAATCTCCAGTCTGAGCAATGAGCAGTGTCTAGCTCCAAGCAGACAGACCCCCTCAAGCCCCAGTCAGCCTAGCCTGCAAGCTCCAGTTCAACAGCAGCAAACACCAGGAACTGCACCCCTGATGGGGAGGGGCTGTTCCCCAAAGGAGGGCACTGGTTGGGAAGCCGGCATCAGGGAACCTGCACTTACCATACAGACATGGGCAGAAAGAGGCCCAGGCCCAGCCCGGAACAGCCAGAAACACGCAGGCATGGCAGCTGGATTGACTCCACATCCCAACACTTGCTCCCCATTTCCTCCCACACATGCCCATGCCCCAGAATAGCTGTCCCCACGGCAGCAGGAGGGGACATGGGGCTCTGAGCAGTGGAGGTGGTGAGGACGGTCTCAGGGGTGGGCCAGCCCTGCCTCGGATCCTGCTCCCTTGGCCCCACTCGGGTTGTCACAGCACAGCCTGCAGGGCCTGCAGGGCCCGGGGACATGCGCTGACTGCCAGCCCTGGGAGCATGCTCCATCTTCTGCTCCTCTCTGAGCTTCACCAGAGGTTCCCTGTCTGTGCAATGGGGTGGGGGTACACCTCCCACATGCAGGAACGACTCACTGGTGACACTAGCAGCCAGCACCCACGGAGGACACCACTGAGTGGGGGCAGCGTATCTGTGAGAGGGTGGGGGACCTGGGCTCCACCTCACCTTTGTGCCTCTGAGACCCCCATGTCCCCTACAAAGCTCTGGAAAACCGAGGCTCGGGCCAGTATGTGGTCAGGACACAGTGCAGTAGCCACAAGGTGTAGGCAACATGGCCTCTGGTCCACGCTGGAGGCCCAGCTATGGGGCTAAGAGGCCTCTGCCTCTCCCAGTCCACCCCTACAGTCGAGCCAGGGCCTGGGACTTCCCGGACAGTCTTTGGGCTGCATATCAGCAGGGAGCACTGCTAGGGATCCCGGGATGGGGAAGCCAGGATCTAGGCCAGGACACTGCAGTCACTGGTATGAGTCCGGGGACGGGAAGACAGCTGTCCATCCTCATGGCCCTTGTACCTGCAGGGTGGGCAGTAGGCCCCAGGATGCGGTTAGGAGCATGAGCCAGGCCGACAGGAAGCAGGAGAGGAAAGGAAGATGGGCTGGACCCATCTTGGGGGATGAGGGCCAGGGCGGGTCACTGGTCTCTGGCTTTGTAGATTGGGGTGCCAAGGGGCTGGGCTCAGAGTGAATCCCAGTGTGGAGTCCCGTTCCACAGGAGGTAACAGCTGGGGGCACGGAAGAAGTAGGGTGACCTCTCCCAGGGCCCTGAGGAACGTCTCTGAGACGTTGAGGGGTTTCTTTTAGTGCTGGGTCTTGCTGTGGGGGCGGGGATCCCGCCGAAGCGCTGGTGCTCAAGGGACCGCGCCCAGCAGCCGGGCTAGGGCTGAGAGGGGCACGCAGCATGCAGCGCCTGGGCGTCTCTCGGCTGCTTTCAAGGGAAGCACGGAGCAAACCCACTTCAGCACACGGTTTGCTGGACAGCGGAAAGGAGGCGCCGAGGTTCTTCCCGGGGGCTAGGGCGGCCGTGGACCCGCCTGGCAAAAGGCGACGCCCAGGCGTCCGTCGAAGCCCTTCTCCCCGGCGTCCGGAACACGGCCCGGACCGGCACACCTGGGCCGGTCGGGGCGCCGCCACGCCCCGGCTCGGGCGCCCCCAACCCTCCCGGCCGGGGCGCCATCCCCGCGGCCGCCTGCAGGGGCCGCCGCCTCTTCGGAAATGCTCCGCCTTTGTCTGGAGCGCGGGGCCGGGGCGGCGGGCGGCGGGCGTGCGGGCGGGCGGAGCGCCTCCTGCGGCCCGGCCAGCGCGGCCCGCGCCCCTCCCGGCCCGGGCATCCCCGCCGCACCCCGCCGCCCGCGCGCAGGTGAGCGCCCCGCCCGCCGGAGGCCCCGCCCCGCCCCGCCCCGGCCTGCGCGGGCACCGGGCGGGCTCCGCGCGCGTCGAACCACATGATCCCATAAAACATTCATCGGCTCCCGGCCCGCGCCGCGAGCGCCCGCCAGCCGCGCCGCCGCCCTCCGCGCCCTGCGCGCCCGCCAGCCCCGCCAGCCCCGCCGAGCGCCCAGCCGAGCGCGCCAGCCTCGTCCCGCGGCCGGGCCGGGCCGGGCCGGAGCGGCGGCGCCTGAATGCGGCCCCGGCCGCGGGGAGACGGGCGCCGGCCCCCGAGCGACTTTCGGATCGGCTCGCGCCCCGCCCGACCCCGACGATGAAGAGGGCGTCCTCGGGAGGTGAGTGCCGCGCCGCGCCCGCGCCGCCGTGCCCGAGCCGCAGGGGCCCCTGCCCCGGGCTGCCGCGGCGGCCGGCCCGAGGGTCACCCGGCCGCCCCGAGGCCACCGCAGTGCCGCGCCGGGCTCGGGGCTCGCGGCTGCTCGGGGCGGGGGGAGGGGGCCCGGGAGGGCGGAGCCCGCGGCGGCAGGAAAAGTTGCGGCTTCCCGGGGAAAGTTGGCGGCGGCGGCGGGACCGGGGGGTCGGCGGGTCGGGGGCCCCCGGACGCACGCGAGGTCGGGACCGAGGTGGCGGCTGCGGGCTGCGAAGGGTGGGGTCCGGCCCCCGCGCGCCCCGGTCGCGAAGGGGTTAATGAGGATTGGAGCCCCGACCGAGGCGGGGGTGGCTGGGGGGTCCACCTGCCTCCACCGGCGTCCTCGTACCCGTCTAGTCCGGTTCGGGTCCTGTCATTTCCACCCCCGCCCCCCGGGTCAGGCCACAGCTGGATGAATGGGGCCCACTGTCGGCAGCAGAGGGCGTGAGGGGGCGGGGCTGGGCCAGCGCTGTCCCCCACAGCCCCACCCGGGCGGGCGTGGACAGAGCGCTCCGAACCCCCGGAACACCTCCGACCCGCAGCCTGAGGGCCATTGCGGGGCCGAGCGGAGGAACCCAGCCCGGCGCGGGCAGCGACTCAAAGCGGCCCCTCCCGGGACCCCCACCCCGCGGCGGTGAGGTCCTGAGAACTGGGGTGCTGGAGAGGAGGGCGGTGTCTTGACCGCGGGTGAGGGGAGTCCTGGCTGGAGGGCACTCCCAGGTGCCCGCCCCTACTGCCCTGCTGATGTCCACCTTGCCGCAGGCTGCACCCACGTTGCCTTGCACGTGCCCGCGTCTACAGGGGCTGCACACTCGCGCGCTGCATGTGCGCGTACATGCCGCACACACGCCGTCAGTGCACGTCAGTGTCCTCGCCCGCCTGCACGCCCACGGGCACACATGCATGCACATAGCATGTGCCGCTGTGTTCTCCCTGCCGGGCTTGCTGGGGCCCCTCGGCAGCGCCCGCTCCGGGCGCTTGCAGGCACATGCGTTGAGGGAGAAGCTCTGGGCAGCCAGTGCTCACCACGAGGGACCCTAAACGCAGGAGGCTGGGTTCGCCTTGGCTGTTTGCAGAAGCCCCTGCCTCTGGGAGTGTCCTGGGAGGCTCCCCTTCCCGCCCCCACCCCCAGTCCGAGTGTGCATGCGTGAGCCTCTAACTCAGTATGCATCTGCACGTGCGTCTCCGCCGCAGCCCCTGGGTGCCTGAGGCCACATTGGCAAGTGTCTCCACTGGAGTGTGGTCACTCCTGTGTGCCCAGGCAGGCAGTGACCAGCTTGGCTGGACTCGGCAGTAGAGAGCCTGGGAATGTGGTAGGGCCCCTAGTCCCACGCTCCCAGCAACTCCCCCCCACCCCCCAGGGCTGTGGCAGCTGCTGCAGCAGACAGACAGGGACCCACGGGGGCTCGGAAGGGCCCCCATGAGCCTCCAGGTGGAGAGCGCCACCATCAGGACAGCCCCTCGTGGACTGAGCAGCTGCTGCTGCCCGGTTCAGCCGGGGCAAGTGTGAGCCCACCTCGGACTACCCGGGGGGGATCCTCGAAGGTCCAGCCCTTTGTGAAAACTGAAGGTGCCTCAGTCTCCTGTAATGGGAGCCTTACTGAGGGGTCCCTGGGTGTGAGAAGGGGTGTTGGGGACCCATTCATGCTATGGTGGTGAGAACTGGGGCCAGGGGGTCACAGAAACTGAACCAGACGCTGCCTGCACCCCTGCCACCATTACCGGTGTCCTTGTCTGCAGAATGCAGATGGGGTGCCATTACAGAGTATTTTGGGGTGACACAGGGGTGCGCCTGAAGTCAGCTTCCTTGACAGGGCAGGCAGCAGTCGCCCTTTGGCGAGTCTCGGTCTTTCTGTCTGTGAAGCGGGCACCTCTGCCCCCTCTCTTGCCTGAGAAGAGGCCAGCTGGTGTGCCTGATCAGCTCCTCCCAGCAGGGGGCTCCCTGGGTGGGGCACCTGAGACCCAACAAGCCTCAGATTGGGGTGCAAGGCGCAGCCACACGTGTATGACCTTGGGTGTGTTCCCCATCACCCCCTCCACAGCTCACCTGTGACACAGGCCCGTCCTGGGGCCACCCTCGGGAGGTGCTGGGGAGCTTTTCAAGGCAGAGGCGTCCATGGAGTTCTGACCCAGAACATGGGCCTTCAGAACACCCACTTCGGACCCCCCTTCCCCACACCTTCCCCTGGGCCCCACCCTCTCGCTTGTAGAGGGGAAGAGAGGTGTCTGGGCCTCCGGGAAGGCTGGGCAGGATGGTGCTGGGCACCCTGATGTCTTGCAAGCTGGCATCTTCCCAGTGAGACCCTGCTGGGGAAGGGGCTGGAGGAGGGGCCACGATCTGAGGGAGACACCCCACCACCTGTTGGGCCGGCTCTGGAATGTGGGGGAGAAAGTCCTGAGTTCCAGAGGGCACTACCCAGGCCCCGCACCCCATTCCAGAGCCCAGGCCTGTGCCCCCTCACACACACACTGTCCGGCTCCGCTCTGTGTGCTGCCCCTCCCCAATCCAAGGCCTGGGGACCCTCCCAGGTGAGCCCCCTGCCCCGCCTTGATTTCAGGGCTTTGTCTGATTGCCAGGGAGCTGGTGCAGCCCCAGGAGGGGAGGGGGGAGGGGCTCCCGAGGCTGCTGGAGGCTGAAGGAATCCAGCCCTGGGGCTGCGCTTCCTTCTCTCCTGGGCACCCGCCAGAAGGTCTCCTGGAGCCTCAGTCTGTGCTGGGAAAGAGATCGGGAGAAGGAGCAGGAGAAAGGAGTTTCCTGGCGAGAGAGTGTGCGTGCGTGCGTGTGCGTGAGGGCAGGGGCGTGTCTGGGGGCTGGGGGGGAGGCTGAGCCCCCTCGCCCTGGGCTCCAAATTCTTGGCTCTGCCTGGTGTGCGGCATGACTGCTGGGTTCTGACCTCTCACCTCGCCGAGGGGCTGCCAGACCCTGTGGCCACACAGGGTCCTCCTCCAGGTACAGTGGAACTGGCCAGCTGGCCCACCTGCCTCTGCTGCGGGGCCACAGCATCCCCCCACCCCACGCCGTCTGCAGCCGCTGCAGCCCTGGGGTCCCCCACACCGTGGCCTGCAGAGCCAACGGACCTCCCTGCAGTTGCGGCTTCACTCTGGGCGGTGAGTTGCCCAGTGCACCGGCTGTTCTTTCATCTGGCGCTGGCCCGTGAGACCCTCCTCGGGGGTTGGCACTGAGGGGGGACAGCCCTGCTCCCCTGAGCTCTCCCACAAAGGACAGGTCACAGACCCCCCTGGGGGTGGCACGTGGCCCCAGCAGCTGGGCCGCAGTGCCTGCAGCAGTGTCAGGGAGTGCCTGGCCCCGCTGGTCCCCGCCCCCTCCCCCACCCCCTCCCGCTCTGTGCCACGGTTTCCTCTTCTGTTGCTGCATTTGGCTCTCCCGGCAGGTCGGGAACTATTCTTGTGCATCCCGGGCGGCTGGTGGGGAGTGTGGAATCCCTTTCCCAGGAGCGCCCTCCTTTCTCTCCCGTCCCGCCCCAACCCCCCACGGGGCCCAACCTTGAGCCCACAGGGCTGGGTGCAGGGAGCCTGGCTCAGCATATGGCTTGTGTGGCCTGCCTCACCCCCGACGCAGGGAGGGCAGCAGCTTCTAAGGGCCTTGCCCTCCCACACCTGCCCAGGGCTGGGGCTGGTTTGTCCCCGTAATCTACATATCCTAGATTCCCTGGCAGGGAAGTGCCATGTGGGGTGCTGGGGGGGCATCCTCTCCCTCTGCCCCTACCTCTGCCCCTACCCAACAGTCCCTCCTCCGTGTGGCCTCCTCCTGGCCTTCTCGGGGAGGGAGAAGTATGGGGCTCTGAGCAGCCCGTGGTCCTGCGGCCAAGTCCCCAGGCCCCCAGCTCTGTAGGGCCCAGGGCCGAGCCGAGAAGGCTGGGCTGCGGTGGGCTGCGGTGGGCTGCAGGCAGAGCCGCAGGGGGCCTGGCGAGGAGCTTCCTCAGTGTTGAGCCCCTCCTGGGCCCTGGCAGGTGTTGCCAGCCAATGGCGTTGGAGGAACCGGATGGGGGGACCTTAGGTGGGGTTCTCTGGCTAGCAGGAGGCAGCACACCTTCTGGCCTGGAGCGCACGTGGTGGGGAGGTGGGCAGGGTGGACGTGGGCTTGTGCTGGCACTGAGGAAGCGCCTTTACCAAGGGGGTCTCAGAGCCTCAGGAGCGCCTGTCAGTACCTCAGATGGGCCCCCCAGTGCAAAGCACTCCTGGGCCCCACGTGGTTTGACCAGGAATCCGCTTTGGGAAGCAGCAGCACTGGTCCACGTGTGCGCCCCAGCAAGGGCCCACAGGGATGGGCGGGTCATCCCCCTCCTCCGCTGCGCCCGGCACCTGGTGGGCGGAGGGACCCCACTTCTGGCAGTGTGAGGCAGTGTGCAAATGTAACCTTTGGGTTTATGACTCTATTTCTCGGCAGCAAATGTCACGGGAAATGTCAGGCTGAGGCTGGAGATGGGGAGGAGCCCACTGAGGAGGGGGTGAGGTGTGAAGGAGGGGTCCTCTGGCCAAGGTGGGACTCTGGGCCCCTCACCTCCTCCCAGGAGCCCTCTTGGATTGCCTCAGCCGCACACCACGTCCTCACTCCGTCCCAGCCATGGTGACCTTGTTGCGATGTTGCCTGTATTCGCCTCCTGCCAGGGCCCAGATGGGGCGGGCTCAGGGACCTGCCAGGAGTCCAACCCCTGCCCCCCCCCCCCCCCCCGAGTCTGGGCAGCAGTTGGATCAGCCTGTGCAGCGCCTGCTCGTGAGTGACCTTGGGCAGGGCTGTCCTTTCCCGGTAATCTGTGACCCATGGCTCTTGCCAGACACGGGGTCCCCAGCTCAGCACCCTCGTGGGTGGGAAAAACACTGCGAGGGCCCAGCATGGGGCGGCGGGGGCACGAGCCACGGCTCCAGGTTCTCGACAGATCCACGGCTCCAGGTTCTCGACAGATCCGG